ATGGCACCTGCTCACCCCTCAGTGCTAGAATGACTTAGAGTTCACTGTTCACATGCCAGCTTGCTCTCCCCAGATTGCCAGCTGCTTGAGGGCAGGGCCTGCCTATGCACTCCTATCTCCGTAGCCCTGCATCCAGCACAGTACTGAGAAGACTTTTAGTAAATAATTGTTGTATCCGTGAATAAGGAGAGTAGAAAAGCATAGATTTGGAGACAAGCATATAGGGAATCCAATCTTAGCTCTGTCTACTCTGTGATTTTGGGTGAGTGTCTTAACCTTTCTGAGCCTTAGTTTCCTAAAAACAGGATACAGTAGCCAGTTCACAAGCAGCTGGCCGGCTGGTAATAAGTAATGAGTGAAAAGCGTATTTTAGACTCTTAAGTGCTCTTTGGTTGCAAGTCTATTAATGTAACAGATCTTTGCTATGTATTGATTATGCACCATCAGACCTCTGCTACAGGTGCGGAGAGCTACAGAGATGAAGATAGACAGGTTTCTCCCTTCAGGATGTGAATAGTCCAACATGGTGATTTCTCTTCTAAGTTATTTGGCGGGGAGGAGGGGCGGGCAGGGAGCTATCAGTCTTAAATTTAGGTGAATTACTTATTAAAAGCATTGATTGGTTTCTAACTCCTTCTTTCTTCTGCGTGGGACCCCCCACCCTAAGAATGAGAGAGCCCCCAGTTCCCACTGCTCCTGTTCTTCGTGATACACTGCCAACAGTTTTGCCAAGTTCTTATTCGCTGCTGCATTGCGAGTACTCAAGAATATTTCAGAATTATGGATGAGGTGATGTCATATCCCAGCAAAATAAGAATCAGGAAAGCCTCCCACCCTAAAATTAGAATGTAGCAGACTTTGTTATTGTAATTAGATAACTATTCTTTATAGTTAATGGAAACCATCCACAGGGAGAGTGAATTCAGATGTTTTCTGTGGCACTTAAAAGTGTATCCGATGGGACTCTGTGCTCACTGCTAGAAAGTGAGCTGATTAGAAGACTTAAAAGGTTTGTTAGAACAATGAACTCCTTTCCAAACATTCTTCAAGCCTGCCTTAAGCAAGAGAAGGAAAATGGTACCTCAAAGAGAGTCCCCAGTGTTGGCTCATGTTGTTATGTTAATGGTAGAAAATCCCAGCACATGTATAATGTTTTTAAAACCTATGTAGCTTTGATATTAAAATACATAATTAATGTTTGACAACATTATGGTGTAAAGCAGGTTTTTCCCTATGTAGATTGCCTCTTTAATAGTAGAAAAGATGTATGTATGTGTGTGTGTACATGTGTGAGCATGCATGTCCACAAGTGTTATGTGTGCATGGGCATGCATTGTTTATGGATTCACAGTCCCTAACCCCCAAATGGGAGACACCTCTAACTAGTAAACATTCACTTTAAATGGTTTAAAATTAAGTGCTGTGTTGATAAATCATTGATCACAAGTGCCATTATTAATGATTCCCTTTCCTTTAGCTAGGACAGAAGTTTGTTTTTTTCATCAAATATTTTAAGTTCCTACCATGAGGAAAACATTGTACTTAAAGGGAAGGAGAGGTACAGCTAGACCCTGGATTTTTGGAAGTTTGGATGTTTGATTTCCATTAAAAGTAATATGAATCTTTTCAACTTTCACTAAATGTTGAACGTCCCCAGGTTTAGTTCCAGGTCCATTTCTCTTATCCTCTACAAGGTTTCAATTACCATCTAAATCAGTGGTTCTCAACCTTCCTAATGCCTCGACCCTTTAATACAGCTCCTCATGTTGTGGTGACCCCCAACCATAAAATTATTTTCGTTGCTACTTCATAACTGTAATTTTGCTACTGTTATGAATCATAATGTAAATATCTGATATGCAGGATGTATTTTCATTGTTACAAATTGAACATAATTAAAGCAGTGATTAATCACAAAAACAATATGTAATTATATATGTGTTTTCCGATGGTCTTAGGCGACCCCTGTGAAAGGATCATTCGACCTCCAAAGGGGTTGCGACCCACAGGTTGAGAACTGCTGATCTAAATGCTTCTGCCTCGCAAATGTGTACCTCTAGCCCACTCAGCTGCTTTGAGCTCCAGACTCATGTCCCACATTAAATCTCTACTTGACTATAGATGGTACCCTAAATTCAGTGCATCCAACTAACCCTGAGGGTGTTATCTAAGTGGAGTAACCATTCATCCAATTACATTTCCTTCATTCTCAATGTTTAGTCCACCACCAAGTCATGCTAATTTTATTGCTTAAATATATCTTAAATCTGCACACTTCTTTTCTATAGCCACTGCTCTAGTCGTGGTCACCATGATCTCTTGTTCAGGTGACTCCAATAGACCTCTCACTGGCACCCCTTCTTTCCTTCTCGCTCCTCTTCAAAATGTGAATCTTACTAGGTCATACCCTTTGCATAAGCCCATTTAACAAGTCCCCATTGCTAGTGCACAAAAGTCCAGAATTCTCAATGTGGCCTCCAGGACTTACATAGCTCCCTTGTAGTGTATATTCCTCTCCAAGCCTGGAATAATCTTTTTCCTGACTTTTTCATCTGGTTAATTTCTGGCTGCTTTCTAGACCATACCTCAAAAGAATCTTTCACAGAAAAGCCTCCCTGACCCCTTAAACTGACCACAGTGTGCAGCTGCACATTTAATTGTACGGTTACTGATCAGTGTCTTCCCCACTGGACTGAGGGCCCACAGAGCAAGCACCATATCTATTTACTCACCAGTGTGTTCCTAGCTGGAGAGCCAGCAGGAGCTCTGTCCTGAAGGCTCTCCTAAGCCAAGTGAATCGTATTTGGAATTTATCTTAAAGGCAGTGGGAAGTCTTTGGAGGATTTTAAGCAGGAACAGTGTGATTGGATGCTTACTTTGGAAGAATCATCTTGGATGAGGAGTAGCGATATAGACAAATACTCCCCAAAGAGAAGTGAGGCAGAGTCACAGTAACTGAAGGTCCCTGCCATTCTTTCTCTATTCCACTTCTCCTGTCCCTCCTCTTTAAATCCAGTCCAGTCCAGCCAGTGTAGCTCAGTGGTTGAGCATTGACCTATAAACCAAGATGTCATGATTTGATTCCTGATCAGGGCACATCAACCCTCGAAAATAATTACTTGATCCATCTAGGCACTTGAACATTGATTGAGTTCCTAACTTTGCACTTGACACCAGGAACAATAAAGTCAGAAATGGTCTAGGTCCAAATGTGTATCTCTAGCCCACATCTCTTGCCCTGGTGGGAGACTGTTGGATAAGCAGAGAGTATACTCCAGCATGGGAAGTGATAATGGGGGAGTTTGAACAGAGTTCTTGAATGCAGAGGAGGTCATAGCTAAAACAGTCCCCTGGTAGAATAAGAAAAGGCCTCACAGAGGAGGATGCATTTGAAGTGGGATGAACTAGGAAAGAATTGTGGGTTTTGCCAGGTAGAAACAAACAGGGAGGGGCATTTAAGTGGCTGGAACAGCATGTGGAAAGTCCCAGAGCTGTAAAAGGGCATGGCAGACCGGTAAATGGCATTAGCCCTGCAGTTTCACAGTGGCAGAGAGGATGCATGGGAAGGGGGATGAGGAAGGTGGTAGGAGATGGAAAAAGACGGGCACGTTAGTGCTACTTTTTAAAGGGTCTGGTGTTCTTGACTCAGGCTTTGGGCTGCCAGAATCACTGGAACACTCTTTATAGCTCTGGATTAAAAAACAGTACATGAGGAAATGCTTTATATTGAAAGTCTAATGGTGCATTAGGAAAGCAGTGACCTAGCCAGTGAGAGGAATGATCTTCTGAACCCAAGAAACACAAGCATGACTGTGGTCCTGAGGCAGGTGAATTGGGACCTGGGCCTCCAGGGAAGAGCTGGCTGGGCCTGCTATTGGGAGGCTCAGTCCTGAGCCTGGCTCCACACTGCCATGTTCTGTCCTGACCAGCAGTCTGGGTTTGTGTTTTGCAGTTCCCTGGATAACGGGAGACCACCCGATCCTGCAGACTGGGCCGTGGTGGATGTTGTCAATTACTTCCGGACAGCGGGATTTGAGGAACAAGCTAATGCTTTTCAAGAACAGGTAACTGTGTCTAGAGAAACACATGATGAACACAATTACCTCCCTTCCCACAGAAGCAGAAGGAAATGAGGAGGAAGAGGACCAGAGAATAGTGAGGGATCCGTAGGCTCTCTGCATGTCCTCCATACCAAGTCCTAATCATATCAGGCCTTAACAACTCCAGGAGGGTGGGAAAGGGCAGAAAAAAGTGACAAGCTAAAAGTGCAAGAGGAACACTCAGGCCGAGACAATCACAGCTGCAGAGAGGAGGGTTAAAGCTCATTTACATCTGTATATTCTGAAAGATGCATCAGTCCTACCTCCAACACAAACACACTAGAAAGCAGAAAATGGAAAAGAATGAAAAAGGAGAGACAAATCTGACAGAGACATGCAGCCCTATCTACTAGTGGCCTTTGCACCAACTGATCTTAATAACCCCTCCAATTTGCTTTCCAGTGCTTAGCAAAGTAGAATGGAAAGAGCACAGGATTTAGTTAAATCCTGGTTCTTCTCACATTGTGTAACCCGGGCAAGTTACTACATCTCTGAGTCTTGGCTTCACATCTACAACATCAAGCTATCAATGCCTCACTTGATGGGAGGTGGTGTGAGGATTCAAGGGCAATGTGTGCACAGTGTCCCTAACAGTGTCGATGCCCCCAAATGTTAATTCCCTTCCCTTAGGTCCAGGTTGGTACTGGGAAGAGAGAGAGAGAAGCAGGGGTCCCTCCTGATGGTCTGGGTGATCCCTGGCCCTATTTTTCAGATCTGTAGGAGTAGTGCTCGAGGGGCTTTGCCAAGAGGAAGCAAATTGGGGAAGCAGGTTGTGGTCCACACCAGGCCAGCTATCTCCCTATCAATAAAGGCTGCCATTTTCCCAGCATTAAATCTTGTATTGTAATACAATCGAGAATATTATGAACTGAAGAATGTGTCTGCCTGCTTCTTCCATATCCTTTTAGCCCTTTCTTATTCTCTCAAGTTGGGTTTGGATAGTTGAACATTTTTAATATCCTATATACCAACCTCTAGATTTTCTTCAGCCAGTATTTCTTTTAACCTGATTCCTATTTTTTTTCTAAATTTGGAACATTTGCCAAAATAGCAGGTTGAGTCGCTTCACACCCACTAGAATAACTAAAATTATAAAGATTGATAAACCCAAATGTTGGTGAGGATGTGGAGCAACCACACTCTGTCACATTGTCGGTGGGAGTGTAACATAAACACGCATACATGTATGCCATGACCCAGCAGTTTCATTCCTATTTACCAGAAAGAAATGAAAACATATGTCCACAAAAGATTTGTACAAAATTGTTCTTAGTAGATTTATTTATAATAGTCTAAGACTGGAAACTGAAGTACTATTAATAAGATAATGCATATACAAACTCTATAGTCATACAATAGCATACTAATCAGTAATCAAAGGAATGAACTACTGATGAATGTAAGTTTGGGTGAGTCTCAAAAGATTATGCTGAGTGAGAGAAGCCTTACACAAAAGAGTTCATACTGAATGGTTCCTGTCTCAGTCTGTCTGTGTTGCTATAACAAAAATACAATAAATGGGGTGGCATATAAACAACAAATATTTATTTCTCATAGTTCTGGAGGCTGGGAAGTCCAAGATTAAGGCAGCTGCAGATTTTGTGTCTGGTGAATGCTCACTTCCTGACAGTGAGCATTGCTACGTTCTCATAGGGAGGACGGAGTGAGAGCTCTCTGGCACCTCCATTATAAGAACAATAATCCCATTCAGGAGGACTCTGCCCTCATGACCTGTCACCTCTCAAAGGCCCCACCTATTAAAATCATTACTAATACCTCTATTACCTCATGGGGATTAGGTTTAACATATGAATTGGGGTGGGGGGGGAGAGGCACAAACATTCAGGCCATAGCAGTTTCATTTAGATAAAGGTTGAAATGGGAAAATGGGTCAGTGGTAGAAAAAAATCAGAACCACGGTTGCCTCTGGATAGGTGGGAGAGTCGAATAACGGATGGAGTGTGAGGGAACTTTCTGGGTGATGACAGTTTCTATGTCTTGACAGAGTTTAGGTTATAGGTATATGCATTGTCACTGTGTATGCATAAGTATATACAAATGATTCAGATTTGTGCATTACATAACCCTTAAATTTCACCTCAAAAGGAAAAGAATTATTTGAAAAATTCAAAAATTAATGGCATACAAACTGAAATATTTAGTTTACAACTTATTGATGTATATAACTTACTTTGAAATGTGTCAAAATATGGATTGACAATTGGAGAGAGGGATGAGTAGATGGGTAGTAAGTAGAGAAAATGTTAATTATAAATCTAAGTGGTGAGAATATGGATGTTCATTATAATATACATGCAACTTTTCTTTATGTTTGAAGTTTTTATCATAAAATTGTGGGGAAAATAGCTCAGGTTGGAAAGTGAAAGACTGGTCAACCGGAACATAAATTATTTTGGTTTGTAATGGTAGAAAGCCCACTTGTATCATTGTAGTTGAGTAAATTTGAACAATATTGCAAAAGATTAACAAAAACAAAAAACAAAAAAAGGACTTAGCTAAAAAAGGTCTCTTGGCCAGATTCCCTGCTGCCCAAAAGCATTTTTCAGAGTAAGCTTCTACTCAGACTTTCTCAGAGGCATATGTCCCAGATTGAAGTGAGGGTGTTCTTTGGGCCTTCTGGATTCTGTACAGACCTCAGAAATGGAACTGGCCGGCTTTGAGGTTGGCTCAGGAGCAGGCCCTTATCCCAGGGATGACATCACTCTGGCCCTAGAGACACTTGGAAGCAAAAGGGAACAGACTCTCCCAAAGCATTTCATTCAGAAGTCCTTGGGGGGGGCGGGGGGAGAAGGAGCATCATCTTGCTACTGTGCTGAACCCGCCTGAACTCAGAAGCCTAAGAAAAGAATTCCCAGGGGACTGGAGTTTTGCAAACATGGTGCAGAAGCTGGAGTTCCTTCATTCTCATGTAATGCTGGTTGGGTAGGGGAAAGAG